GGGGGGGGGGGGCGGGCTTCGCGCCACAGGGTCGCTCAGGGGCCCAGGCTCACCCTCCCCCAGGGCGCTCTTTGTCTGACTGGCAGCTGTGGGGAGACGGGGGGGTAGATGTGGCTCTTGCCATTTCTGTCTACATCCATCTGGCCAGACAGGGCTCAGTCACATGCCCCACAAACACAGGGCTGGCTGGGAAGGTGGTCCAGCTAGTGCCCAAGACAAAGAAGGAAAGGGTGTGGGTGCATCTGAAGCTGACATTGGCCGCACCTTCCCAGCTGTGTGACACTGGGCAAGTCACTGAAGCTCTCTGGGCAGATTGAGAAAATCCATGAAGTACTGAGACCTCCAAGGAGCGCCCACTGGGCCCAGAGTCTGCAGAGAGGAAAGGCCCCTTGGCACCATACCCAAGCACGGGGGCCCAGCCAGCCTGTCTGCACCCCCTGAGAATTTCTTTCCGGAACATGGCATCTGCCCCGGGAGTTGGCCAGTTGGTGGTCCAGCTAGCGCCACCCTGCCCGGCTGCTCTGCACACACGTGTCCGGGGCCGTGCAGGAGGTTGCCCAGGGTCCCTGCCTGCAGCTTCTATGAGCACCGTGTGGATGGGCCTGGACCCCAGGCCCGGGGAGCAGCTGGGCTGGCCTTAGACCTGCCCCTGACACCCTGAGCCACCATGCAGGGCCTGCCTGGGTGCCGTCTGCAGGACCTCTCTCTCTGGGGTGGGGGCAGGTGGGTGGTAGGGAGGACTGTCAGTCACCGGCAGCCCCTGAGATGGGCCCTGCTTGTGTGACCCTGAGGGCTGCCCCTGCCCTGCAGGGCAGCTTTGTGGGGCCTAGGCTCTCCCTCCTGCGTGGCCCCGGGGAGCTCGCCATCCAGGTGGGCCTGGTTCATGGTCTTTGTAAGATGCAGCCCCTGTCCCGCTGCAAGCCTTGCAGGGGAACGGCGTGATGCATCAGGGCCGGCTTTCCCCTCAAGGCCAGGCTCCTGGGGGGTGGCCAAGGGCTTTGCCTGTTCTTGGGGCCTGATGCGCTCCCCCCCCCACCACCAAAAAGCAAAATCCTTCCCCTGCAAATACTCCCTCCAGCCAGTTCATTTTAATCCTCACTACAGCCTAATAAGGAGCATGGTCAGGAAGCTGGGGCACAGAGAGGTTTAGTAACTTGCCCTGCGTCACACAGATGGGGAGGCCGTGGGGACCGAGGTGGGGAAGGGGGACGAGGAGACAGAAGAAGGGGGGCTCTGCCTAGAGTTTTGTGGGGGCTGAATTGAAGCGAGCGGGAGAGGAAGGGGAGGGAGTGGAGAGGACAGGTGTGGGGTGGCCTGAGTGTGGCCTGGCCCTGAGCCTTCCCTCTCAGAGATGGGGGAGGGGAGGCTGGCAGGGGTGCATCCCTGGGGAGTTACAGGAGGGGTCTCTGCGGTGGGGGCGTGCGGGGATGTTCCCAGGTTGGTATGAGTGGCTGGGAGGCTGAGACCAGGGGGGCTTCCCAGAAGGTTTGGGGGTGTGGGGTTCAGGGTCACAGCAGATCTGGGGTCTGGAACTGGGGAATTATTACCCCCTGATTCTGAAGGCGGCATTGCCGGCTGCCCTTCCCGGGTCACAGGTGTGCACACAGGGGTCCTGGTGCCGCCCACTGCTCGGTGCCTCTGCTGCTGGTCCAGGGTCCGAATCCCACAGTGTGTGCGCTTGGGGCCAGCTGTGGACGAGGAGCCGCGTGGCCCACAGCGCCACCCACCCACCAGCTGGCATCCTGCCTCTGTGAATGGGGGTGCGCGTGCTAGGGGCCAGGAGGCAGGGGCTGTGGTGGCTCCCGGGGGCTTCCCTGCCCTGAGAGCACCCGGGAGGCGGTGGCTGTAGAGCAGGTGGCGGAATGCCAGGCCGGAGGTGGTGTTTGTCAGCCCCAATGCAAACCCGCTGCCGTTTTCTGCCTGATGCCTCCAGAAACGTTGCCTGTGGCAGGTGCCTGCTTAAATGTCTGGGGTGAGCAGTTAGGTGAAGTATGTCCCAGCGCTGGGGCGTCAGGTACGTCTGGGTGTTGTCAGGTGAGAGGTGAGGGGGAGGGGCCCTCTGCATGGCTGTCAGTGTGCACACACCGGTGTGTGTGCGTGCGTGTGTGCGCGCGCGTGTGCACTTGGGTGCGTGTGTTTGGGGGCTGCCAGCCTGAGCACCGGCCCCGAGGATCTCAGTGTAGCTTGTCTTTTCTTTAAAACAAGAGGCCCTGTGGCTGAGAAGCTGGATTACCTTGTGAAACCTGCCCCTCTCTCCCCCTTTCCTTTTGGCCCCGACTCTCTCCTAGAACATCTGCTTTTCCTGTTTTTTTTTTTTTTTCCCAATTGTGGTAAAATACAATTAACGTGAAATTTACCATCTCAGCCATTTTCCAGCGCGGGGTTCAGCA